TCCCAATTAAGAAAATAAGTTGTAGCATCCAATTTCTACTTTGTCTTGAGGTTTTCTTGGTTGGTCTATGTAATGTTTTACATGCAATTAGTGGCTTATTTGATGACAATATGTATATTGAGTCACATTTTTCACTAGTTCACACATACTAGTGGACTCTGAGGATAAATGTCAATCGAGAAAATGGCAGAACATGCATTAGATGCAAAATGATTGCATGTGTCTGTTAGTAATTCCTTTTTTTACTTTTGATTGGTAAGTGAGAGAATGGGAGGAAATTAACAGATAAAAGAAAGGTAACTTTTGGATGTACAAAGCTCATGAAAAGCCCTATTATGAATTTCTAACGGATAACTTCGCATAGGTATGTACAAATCTCAGGAAAAGTCCTTTTTATGGATTCAGTTGTTAAACAACTTTTTGTGCTTCTTAAATATGCTTTTCTTGAAATCTTTCATTGATTGCAGTGACTTCTTTTAATTTCTTAAGGAGCTAGAACATGCACAGAGGCGAGGAGCTAAAATCTATGCAGAACTCCGTGGTTATGGGATGTCAGGTTTGGGCTTTGGATTGGCTGTTACGATAGTACTGCAATCATACATTTTCTTATCCCTTGATCCTTCTATTCATTCTTCTGTTCAGCTTGTAACTGCACATATTTCTTTCTTCAGGTGATGCATATCACATTACACAACCACGTGCTGATGGAAGGGGTGCCATTTTAGCCATGACACGTGCTTTAGAGCAGGTCATCATTGTCCATTTCGTGTTTTCTTGTAGGTTTTATAAGCATGACTAGTGGACAAATATCTATAGATTTTTCCAATTACTTTAACACTCTTTGTTCATATAGTTGGTCACTTTCAAGAAGCATAACAAAACATAATCTTGTCTGACAACATAACAAGATAACATAACGAGATTTCAGGTGATTCCTCTTTGGAGCTTTGCCACCTGTTACTTTTTGGGTTATCCTCTCACGTATCTATACTATTTTAGTGGTGCACAGGCAAGTTTCTAAAATTCTGTTCTTTCTTCTGCCAGGGTTTAGGTGGGGAGTGAAAAGCATTTGGTTTTTGTAAGATTTCTTTTTGGGGTTGTAAGAGAGTGTGGGGAAGATGTGGGAGGTAATTATATAAGCTGCTTGTTGAAGGATAAGAAGAACTCCCTAGAACTTGTGTGCATGGACTTGACCTCCCTTTTAAGTCCTACTCTTTTGGTTCTTATGCATTCAGATGTTAAGAATCTTGGGAAACTTTAAACAATTTTTGTGTTGCTGTATTGATGAAAAGGTTTCTAACAGTTTGCTTTTCTGACACTGGCAGTCTGGTCTCCATCCTAACCAAGTGGATTACATTAATGCCCATGCTACATCTACACCTTTGGGTAAATTGTCCAATTGCAGAACCATTCACTAAGAACTTACTAATTGTCATGAAAGTATTGAGTATTTTCTGCACTAATTTTTTTTTTTTTTGAGTATTTCCACTCATATGTTACTTTAATACTTAGGTGACGCTGTGGAAGCGAATGCGATAAAGTCTGTATTTTCAACACATGCAACATCTGGTTCTTTGGCCTTGTCTTCTACAAAGGTAATATGCATATCGTACTATTGGGTTTTCTTGGACATTCAGTATATCAGCGTCATTTGGAGATTGCATTGTCAAAATGATAAGAGTTTCAAAATTTTCAGGAACTTTATGTGGATCTTCTTCTTCACGTTGAATTACAGGATTTAGAGATTGTCATCCTGTTGAACAACTACTTCTGTAATTATATTTGTTGATCTTACATTTTTTTTTGACTGACATTTTAGCACCCATTTCACTACCTTGCTTTTGTTTTCTTGTTCAAATTGTTAGAGTTCAGAAAGTAGGGTGGGGAGCGAAAAGCATTTAGTTTTTTTGTTTTCTCCGATTAACTAGGAATTACTGTTTGGGTGATGAAACTCACCTTTTGAAATTCATGAATAACAGGTTAAACCTACTTTTATATGATATCTCGTGTGATGTGTCCATAGAGTAGAGCCAGATGCATCACCCTTTTCCCGCATTATGTTTCATCTTCCCGTACTTCTCACACTCAGACGTTTGTTCCATTCTGTAAAGTTGTGACAACAATCATTATTAAGCACCGTAAATAGAGATTTCCAAAGCCCTTATCAACCTCAGCCAAGGTCTTGCGAACACCAAACAGCACCAATAACTCTACCCCTCCATTGACACCAAGGAATCCATTCTCAAATTCACAAGCACAAAACTAAGAATAGGCAACTTAGATCCACTGTTAAATTCATTTCCAGCACCACGAGCCACTTTTCCAGCCCTTAATCTACCAAATCGTTCATATTGGACTATCCCTTATGGTTGGGGTTTGTGGCAACTGCAACTTATATTTTCTGCTTGTTTTGATGTCACTTGTCACATTTTGAAGCTGATAAGAATTCTCTTTTATCAAATTTTAGAAATAGAGGGAGGGAGAAATTGCAAAGCCTGGTAAGGGTGGGGTTAGTTATAGGTAATCTTAAATCTCTCACCTCATTGGGACTGGGATAGAAATTTGGGGAGAGTTGAAAGGTGCGAAGGTACTTCTGGCACAAAAAAAGAAGAGCGATGGTACTTAGATCAGAAAAGGGATAGGGTCTGTTAAATTTGTTTTATTTTCAGTTGTCCCAAAAAGGGAAATAAAACTCACTGGCTTGACTTTGTCTTGGAAAATAAAGCAATTGAAATGGTTCGTAATTGATCTTGTAGTATCTTGTATGATCCAACAACCATTTTGCTCATCACTGCATAGAAAATTTGTATCATGATTGATGTGTTACAATGTTTTATCTTCCGTGCCTGAAAAATCCTAAATTTGTAATGTTCGAATAACATGAATCAGGGAGCTATGGGCCATCTTCTTGGGGCAGCTGGAGCTGTGGAAGCAATATTCACTGTTTTGGCTATACACCATGTAAGGGAAGTTCAGTCAAGATTTCCAATGTTCTTCAAACCATAATCAACATTTCCTTAATTACCCTCTTACCTTTAATCACAAAAAGCATTTAGCACGAGCTCACCAAATCCCGGGACACCTATTGGTGAACTTTTTCACACTATCAGTAACAGAATGTGATTATGCGGATGCAAGTCTGGTGCTACCGCATATAATTAAATTGCTGGAATTTCTTTCTATAGGTGAAAGCTTCTCATATGGGGCAGGCTAATGCTGCAAATTACTAGCATCTCTCAACCTAGTTATTTTTGTTGTTTCGCAAAATTTGGGATGTCTTTCATGGGAAATTCCCTTCATTTGAGTCAAGTCTGGTCTACTGGAAAAATTTTCTTGGGCACAGATTGCGGTCCTTTGGTTATTGTGAACTCATATTTGTGTTCCTTTTCTCGTGTGGAAATATCATGGCAGGGGATTGCTCCGTTGACACTTAATCTAACAGAACCAGATCCAGTTTTCAGTAATGACTTCATGCCTCTTACTGCTTCAAAGGAGATGATTATCAAAGCGGCCATGTCAAATTCTTTTGGCTTTGGGGGAACAAATTCTTCCTTGTTATTTTCTTCCATCTCATGAATCTGTGTCAGCTCTATTAGTCTTCGAAACTCTTTCTTGTTCATCAGGGATAGCAACAAATACTGAAGAGTGTAGAACCTGCTGTTTCAGTGAGACAGAATCGCAACATTTTTTTTTTTATTTGGTAGATTCATTTATAGAATGTTTGTGTGGTGATGCCCATAGAGTTCTCAGTTATGAAATGGTGGATTGTATGCAATCAATTTTGGGATGATGAATCAGTATGGAAATGAATTTGCCATCATCAACTGCTAAGAATCAGTCATTCGGTTCGATATAGTGAAAACTATAGCTGAGCGAGTTACAGAATTCAACCAACTTTTGTTTTTAAAGACTTCAGAAATGGTTTTATCTCCGTCCTTTTATTTTATCAGTGCAAGCTCCATTTTCTAGCACCATACCATCCATTATCCACAAAAAGGGCAAGCCTATATAGTGTCAAAGAATTCTTTTGAAGTTATCATAAATTCAAGTCTCTCTCTCGCCTTTCTGATTTTTAAATCCCATTACTCCCTTTCTAATTCTTAAATCCCATTACTCCCTGCTACAAAAAAAAAAAAAAAAAAAAAAAAAAATCTTGCAAAATGTTCTAACTAGACATGTCAATCCAAGTGCAACATGTTCTAACCAAAGTTAATATACGCTAAATACATTATTAGTGGTAGTGTAGAAAAGTTTTATCCATATAAAATATGTCCAAAATCTACTCTAAAAGGGGAGGGAAACATCAAAATAATGTCTAAAATAGGGGTGTTGGCGAGCCAAGTTGCTTGCGAGTAACTTATAAGCGGTTTGGTCAAAAGTTTGGCTCGAATTCGATTTGACTGAGTTCGACCTCGAACTCGAGCTACTTGTTTTATGTAATAAGTGAATGAGTAGAGTTTGAGCATTAGTAGTAAATACTCAGGTAATTGACAAGAATAATCAAGTATTTATTTTATTTATATATTATATATTTTAATTATGGAATGACAATTATTGGTTCGTATTTCAATAAATTCACTTGAAGTAATGTTTAGTGAAAAAAAGTGACGGATGACAAAATGGTAATTTGATAAACCTAAAATGTAAAAAATTAAAACAAGAAAAGAAAAACTTACTTAATCTCGAGCTAAATAAAGCTTGCAGTTTATTCAAATTTGAACAAGTCGAATTCGAACTTAATTTCCATTATGTCGAGTCAAGTTCGAGCCGAAGTTTATACTTGAGCTCAAGGTCAAGTGGCACTAATAGTGATCGAGTTCCGGCTCGGGTATGGTACTATTAGAGTTTGACTCGTTGAAATATTTTGAGATATTTCTGTCCAGAAATATTTTGGGGGTAAAAAGTGTTACCGAGGCTAATATTAGGGGGTTTACAAGTATTCATAATAAATTACAGAAACTAGTAACTGGGCGGGTTGATGAATCTGGATAAACCCGACCCTCCAGTGTAAACCGTTCATTTGTATTGGAGAAACAGAAACAGAAGAGCTCGCAGAAGAAGAAGAAGAAGAAGAAGGATAATGGGAGAAGTGGAGGAGAAAGCCGTATTGGAGAAGGTGGGAAACGTCGTCGCCTCAATCAACGGCTCCAAACACGTCGACCAAGTCATCTCCGCCGTCTATTCTCTCGCCGCCCTTCTCTTCCCCCTCGAGACTCTGTCTTTCATAGGTGAATTTACTGTTTCTTAATCCATTTCACTAATACCTGCTACTACTTTTTTTTTTGGCTGATTTATTTTTTTTTTAAACTGTTTATTAGGTAGCATCAGTGAAAAATACAGGGATGAGGTACTTCAAAAATTTAGTTATTTATCTGTTATTATGCATGCAAAATAATTGTAGAACAGAATTGTGGATCTTAATGGTTCTTTTAATTTCAAACTATAGGTGCGCAGCGCGGAGGCACTAAGTGAAAATCAGAGAAAAGAATGGTGGAAGGTTTTTTACAAAGGAGCTGCATTTCCAGCTCTTGCTCGAGTTTTACTATATGGTACAGACAAAACAATGAAAGTTTGATTTTTTTTTTTTGGGTTTAGTTTACTAGTGCGTGCTTAAGTGTGGATTTTTTTTTTGTTTTTAATTTTTTATTTTTTTCGTTGTGAGTTTCTTCCGGAATCCAGTTTTTTTACTATAATTAAGAGAACAAATGGATGAAGAGCCTCAATGATTGTGCATTCTTATTGTTCGAGACAATATTAATGTTGATTTCTATATAACCAAACAAAAAAAAAAGGAGAAAAGAGAAAAGGTTGCCGGTGCTAACAGAAGTACCAGTAAATGTCCCTTAGTGAAAATGGAAACTAAGAAAGTAAAAAGAAAGAATATAGTGCTATGTTACGTGTATATGTGTGAACTTAAGCTTCTAAGGTACCTTGGATACTTGTTTTGCTTTTGCGAACCAAGCAGAAAAGAAGGAGAATATATCCGCTTTTGGGTTATATTTCTTTACTTTCTGTTTAACAGGTGACTGTTGTGCATGACTTCTGATGACAATTGGTGTTTATGTGTAGATGTTGCTTCTGATTGGCTGGTTTGTTTTCCCATTTCCGCAAGGAAAAATGTATACGATGTGTTTTTTGTCAAGGGCCGTATGACTGAGGTTGTTCAAGCTATGGTTCCTTGTCTGCAGAACAGAGGAAGCACTAGGTATGACACTAGTGCTGTTTATTCAAATGCTGAAAGGTAATGGTTTGTGGGAATTCAGTTTTCCTTCTGTGTGGTCTGTTTGGTGATTCTTATGATTCTTATGCAATTTGTTGACTATGTCACTTCGTGAAGGATTAGCTGATTTCCTTTTTCCATTCTTAGTGGTGCTGTTGGACATAATTAAGAAGGCATTTATTATTATACTGTTTATGTTTCATGAATAAAGGGGCCACAAGGCCTATCAAATGTTTTAAAATAATACTCAGGGTATATATGGATACATGGGCCATTCCTGTAGTCTATAAGTGTACACAGTTGTTGCCATTTGAGTTGCTTTCTGTCAACTATCAAATTATCTATACATGTTGAGATGTTGTTTCTTATCTAATTTTAGCTGTTTTATTCTCCCAATAAAAGTTGACATCTTTTGTTGCAATTATGTCCCGTGTTCAAATTTTGGTTTCCTTCATACACCAAATCAGCAAGAGAAATGAGTGAAGAGAATGACGAAAAGCAAACACAAGTCTAGAAGCACTTTACAAAAATAATAATGAGTAAAATTGGTGAGAAAGATGCATCCCCAACAATTAGTAGATTGATGTTACTGTCAACAGGTATCTTGGGAGGAAAACATCTAGTCACACTATTATGAGTGACCAACTAGTATTTATAGGAGTACAAACCTAACAGACTATTTACAAGAATACCCTTACTAATTTATTATCTATAAGAATACTAATATTCTCCTAACACTCCCCCTCAAGTTGGAGCATATATATCATAAGCACCCAACTTGTTACAAATATATTTCACCCTAGAGCCCCCTAAACTCTTAGTAAATACATCAGCCAATTGATCTACAGACGGTACATGAGATGTCTTGATGACCCCGTCAAGCAATTTCTCTCGAATGAAATGACAATCAACTTCAATATGTTTTGTCCTTTCATGAAACACTGGATTAGACGCAATATGAACAGCCGCCTGATTATCACACACTAAATTCATAGGCTGTTTATGTTCAAACCCAAGTTCCAGTAACATGCTCTTCACCCAAACCAACTCACACACAGTGTGAGCCATAGCGCGGTATTCAGATTCTGCACTTGATCTGGATACAACTGTTTGCTTCTTACTCTTCCACGACACTAAATTACCACCAACAAACACACAATATCCTGTAGTCGATCTTCGATCTGAGGCAGAACCAGCCCAATCTGCATCACTATATCCTTCAATATCATTGTGTCCATGATTTTGATACAGCAACCCTTTTTCAGGAGCATTTTTAAGATACCTGAGAATCCGTATAACAGCATCCCAATGACTAGTACGAGGGGTATCAAGAAATTGACTCACAACACTCACTGCAAACGAAATGTCAGGTCTCGTTACAGTGAGATAATTTAATTTACCCACAAGTCTTCGATATTGCTTAGGATCATCAAGTAATGCACCTTGATCTCCTGCTAATTTCACATTGGGATCCATAGGAGTATCCACAGGTCGGCAACCTAACATCCCAACTTCACTCAACATATCGAGTACATATTTTCTTTGACATAAATAAATCCCATATTTAGACCGAGCTACCTCAATACCCAGAAAATACTGTAGATGACCTAAATCCTTTGTCTGAAAGTTTGCCTGCAGATTGGATTTAAGTTTCTGAATCCCCACAACATCATCACCTGTAATCACAATGTCATCCACATAAACAACTAATAAAATTTTACCAGCATTAGAATGCCGATAAAATACAGAGTGATCTACTCCACATCTTGTCAGACCGAACTCCATGACAACACTACTAAACCGGCCAAACCAAGCCCTCGGGGACTGTTTCAATCCATATAAGGATTTTTTCAAACGACAAACCAACCGCGGATTCTCCCCCTGAACAACAAATCCAGGAGGTTGTTCCATATATACCTCTTCTTCCAAATCTCCATGCAGAAATGCATTTTTCACATCCAACTGATGCAATGGCCAATTATAAGTTGCTGCCAAAGAGATAAGAAGACGGACAGAGGTAATCTTTGCAACAGGAGAAAATGTTTCTAAATAGTCTACTCCATACACCTGAGTAAATCCTCTAGCTACCAACCGAGCCTTCAATCTATCAATAGAACCATTAGGCTGCACTTTTATAGTGTACACCCATTTACAACCAACAACAGGCTTACCTGAAGGACGAGGGACAAGATCCCAAGTACCATTTTGTTCCAAAGCAGACATCTCTTCTTGCATAGCTAATCTCCAACCAGGATGATTAAGAGCATAGGTAATAGACTTAGGAATAGAGATAGAATCAAGAGAAGCAACAAAAGAAGAATATGACATAGAGAGACGAGAATAAGAAACAAAATTAGAAATAGGATGGGAAGTACAATGTCTCTTACCTTTGCGTAAAGCAATAGGAAGATCTAACTCAGAGGAGGGCGTCATACCTGGATTTGAAGATTGAGAGTTAATTGGTGAAGTGCGTGGCATATCAGGAACTTTCTCAACCATGGAACGACGAGAGTAAACTTGAAGATGAGGACGAGATAATCGAGCTATGGAATCTGGTGGACTAGACAACTCAGGTAATAAAGGGGAAGGGACTGGTAAAACAGGAGAGGAAAAAGAGGGACACTGGTCTAATTCACAAGACATACTTTGCTTGATAAAATACGGAGTGGATTCAAAGAAAGTAACATCAGCACAAGTAAAAAATCGATTTAAAACTGGACTGTAACATCTATACCCTTTTTGCGCTCGTGTATATCCTAAGAAAATACACTTAATAGCACGAGAATCTAATTTATCCACCCCGGGAGCAAGCTGATGAACAAAGCACACACATCCAAAAATACGAGGAGGCAATTTAAACACAGATTCATGAGGAAAAAGAATGGAGTGAGGTAATTGACCTCCAAGAATATTAGATGGCATGCGATTAATTAAATAACATGCAGTTAGAATTGCATCACTCCAAAATTGTTTGGGCACATTCATGTGCAACAATAGTGTTCGAGCAATTTCGATTAAATGCCCAATTTTTCTTTCAGCAACTCCATTCTGTTGTGGAGTGTGAGGACAAGAGGACTGATGAATAATACCAGACTTAGTCATAAAGGTATTAAAAGGAGTGGAAAAATAGTCTTTCGCATTATCACTGCGAAGTATACGTACAGGCACACCAAATTGATTCTTTATTTCTGTAACAAATGCACAAAAAATGGAATATAATTCTGAACGATCTTTCATTAAATAAAGCCATGTAACTCTGGAAAAATCATCAACAAAGACTACAAAATATTTAAAACCTAACTTTGAAGTGACTCGACTAGGACCCCAAACATCAGAATGAACTAACAAAAAAGGTTCAGAAACCCGTTTATTGACTCTAGGAGCAAAAGAAACACGATGATGCTTTCCTAACTGACAAGACTCACATTCTAACGAAGATAATTGATTCAAAGTAGGAACCAACTTTTTCAAATTTTGTAAAGACGGATGACCTAAACGACAGTGAATTTCAAGAGGAGAAACAGTAGCAGGACATGCTATCGGACCATTGAAGTTGAGAAAATAAAGACCATTATGCTCATGCCCTCCACCAATCATCCTCTTTGTCTTCAAATCCTGAATGACAACAGAATCAGGAGAAAAAGTAACTGTACACTGTAGAAATTTAGTGAGCTTACTAACAGACATTAGATTAAATGGCAAATTGGGTACGTAAAGAACAGAAGATAGCGGAAGTGATGGATTAATTTCTACAGTGCCTAGTCCTTTAACTTTAGTAGTAGATCCATCAGCTAAAGTAACATGAGGAAAGGGAGTTGACTCTTGAAAATTAGAAAAAATTTTAGAGGTACCTGACATATGATCAGTAGCCCCGGAATCAATAATCCATGGGTCATTACCTTTTTGTGCTAAAGAAGCAGAGGGAAGAGATGCGTGATTTGTAGCTTGGTACTGTAGGAATTTAACATAATCTTCCTCAGATATAGTAACAGTTTTCTGGGACCCATGTGTTGAAGAACTTGATTCAACTTGGTCAGTGATAACCGTATTAACAAACCTTTCAACCATAGCGAATAGCACGTCAAACGAAAGAACGGGTCAAAACTTGAGACAAACGCGTGAACAGTAACGGCATGAACAGTAACTACGTGAACAGTATCGGCGTGAACAGTGCCGTGACCAGTATACGTGAACAGTGCCGCTATGAACAGTGCGGCGTGAACAGTGATTTGCTAGATGTTTTACCCTAACCCTAGGACTTTTGCTCTGATACCATGTCAACAGGTATCTTGGGAGGAAAACATCTAGTCACACTATTATGAGTGACCAACTAGTATTTATAGGAGTACAAACCTAACAGACTATTTACAAGAATACCCTTACTAATTTATTATCTATAAGAATACTAATATTCTCCTAACAGTTACAAATATTACTATTTATTCGACTAGTTTTAATGAGATCTGATTTAGGAAGAAAGTAGTTTGATTTGCTCTCGATGGGAAAAGGATAACTTCCTCCAGCTTTCCAATAGATGGAAAGGCATGGAAGAAAAGGTATGAAGACTAGGAGAATCAATAACTGCCTAACTCAAAGTAAAAGCGGACAAAGTCAAGAGATGTACTCAAGTTTTTGTTCATGTTCCAATTATGGAATTTTACTAAAGTCTCTTTGAACATTTCATGTGAAGACCATTAATTATTTTGTAGTTTTGACCCATGCATATATTCATAGGCCGACTCACTCACATGTAAACATTCATGTATATGTGCTCAAGTAGCTATGCTGCTTGTCTCTGAGTGTCTCTACCAGATGCTACAAGAGTTACAAAGATATCTGTCATGCTATAATTCTTGTTTTTCCTGGATGTGCCAGTACGAGGAGATAGTAGCTGAACCTATTGCTCCTTGACATTTATGGCAGATTACTTGTACTTTGCTTGGTTGAAAATGATGGTGCTTTTCAAATGGTTAAAGAATTTAATTTTCAATGCGAAAGTGAGGAGCTTACTGGTGACAAGCTCAAGCAGGCTATTTCCATGTTGGCACAACTTGTTACTTCTATTCCTGATAAGGCTCGACCCGGAATCTCTAGTGCTCTTTCATCACAGTATCCTTATTACTTTAAGTATTGGTACTGTCTGTTTTTCATGAGTTTATCTAATTTGTGCCCTTGTAACTAGAGGAATAGTAAACAATTTCATCCGTGAGTAAAACTTCAGTGCCTGTTCAGTATGCCAAGTTACTCTGATTACTCACCATAGATCCAAAGATAAGTAGTTGACCACATATTGTTGCTTACGGTGTCTATTATTGGTAGTTGGTTACCATTTGGCTTACTGAATTGGTTCTCAAGTTCTTCTCTTCTTGCCTTAAGAACTAAATGGGTCATAGAGGAATCTTTTTGCTGTAGTTTTGCTTTCCTCCACTAAACTTGAATTTTGTTCATGTTCTCGATCTATCAGTTGTGGTCATGCATCATTATGAGCTGTGGCTACTTTTCATTCTCTTTGTCCCTCTGCCTGTCTGTATTCCTTACCTGGATATCTTAGTTTGTTTTTCAAGAGTATTACTACCCAACTCCTCTCTGGAGCAGAAGAATGGGACAAGAATCTACCTGATGGAGTGGACAGCTGCAATAAAATTTATACACATGATACAATTGTCTTTATTGGAGAAATAGTTGCTCGAATTTGTCGGAGAGGATCAGCTGGTAAAATTTTTTCAAAATATGGAGTGCTAGATATTTCCCCCTCCTGACTTTATAATACTCTGCTACACCAAAATAAGCCTCAGGTTTGAATCTTTACTTTTCACAGATGTGCTGCTAAGTGAACTGATCCCCCGAGTCCTCTGTCAAGCTCGCAATTTTTTGTCTGGAACTGCTAATGTGTCTGTTAACAAGACATTTGAGTTAAAACCCGGTCTAAGATTTTGGTCAAGAGTGATAGAGGAGATTAAAGATTCTTATGCCGTGGAAAGATTGTCTGAGCAGCTCTTGCATCAACTAGCAGCTCAAAATACAAATGATATTGAAGCTTACTGGATTTTGTGGATCCTGTTTCATCGTAGTTATGAGAACCAACCTTTGATTAGGTTTATCCATCTCCTTTTCTCCAGCCTTTAAAGATTTTTCTAGATAGTGATAGTCAATTTGTTTGCAATGAGAATGAATTGGGATGTTTCAAATGGCTAAATCAGTATTAGTAAACTTAGTGGGAACAAAAATGTGAGATGCTTTCATGGAAAAGTTTTTGTGAATTTATTTTCTGATTCTTCCTTTAAGACATGTCACATGAAATATATATATATATATATATATATCAAGGATACAATGTATATTCTTTAGGGCAATTCTGTATCTTTACAAATTACATAAATGTGGAAGCATCTCTGGTAACAGTGACAATTTACTAAATTCCCTCCTTTTTCAGGTCTATGTTTGTTGACAAATTTTTGCTCTGGAAAGTATTTCCTATCTGTTGCCTGAGATGGATTCTTCACTTTGCTATTCTTGAATGTTCCCCTGATAATACTTTGCTGACAAAAGCTTATCATGCTCATCGCCTAGTGGAGACAATGCAGCGTCTTGTTTCAGTGTGGTCCAAACGAGAGTTTGTGCAATCATCTAGGCTTGAGCAACAAGCTTGTATCCTTTCTTATTGTTTTCTCATTTGAAATGGGTGCAATATCTTCTTTTGATATCCATTATGTGGGGAAGAGGTCCAATGAAATACTTGGTCTTAGTATCTGTACTTGCCAGTCAAAATTGCTTGCTTGTCATTAATATATGTGGTTATGGAATGCTTTTGCCTCTGGGGGGATCAGTATGTTCCTGCCGTTAAGAAGGATGGAAAAAAAAATCTTGTTCAGCATGGACTTTTGCTATTCTATTCTTTCTTCGGTTGTAATTAGTTGACGTTCTTTTATTCCAATCTTTTGGGCTATTATTTTTAATTTTTTTCATCCTGTGACTCCTTAATGTTTTCAGATGTAACTGCAGCTTTGGGCCTCTGCCTGGAGAAGATGTCAAAGGAAGATTTAGATGCAACAAAGGATGCTATCCACTCAATTCTTCAAGGAGTTAGCTGTAATCTTTCCTCCTTTTGCTAGTTATTGAAATTATCTTGTTCGCTGGCTCTTATCTCTCAATGATTGGTGACAGGTAGGCTGGAAAGCCCTGATCATTTGGTCCGCAAAATGGCCAGTAGCGTTGCTTTAGTATTTTCTAAAGTTGTTGACCCCCAAAATCCTTTATATCTGGATGATAACTGCCATGATGAGACCATTGATTGGGAGTTTAAGCCAACAATGTCAGATAGAAGTTCAGTGGCTAAATCACATCACAAGGATGAAGAAGCTGACAAAGTTAAAGGTTTAGACATGGCAAAGGAAGCCAACGGTGTCGATGATGCTGATATGGGAAAGAAAGTCAAAGGCAGGAAACAGAAGCTGTTGGAATTTAAATTAGTTGATCCGGATGAGGTTATTGATCCAGCTGCATTAAATGGCGAGTTAATCTCTGATGGAGAGGGTGATGATTTTGGAAGTGAGGATTCTGATTCCTTGAGCGACACATCTTTAGAGCCATATGATTTAACAGATGATGATGCGGATTTGAAAAGAAAATTCTCGCAGTTGGTTGATGTGGTTGGGGCATTAAGGAAATCTGATGATGTTGATGGGGTGAGTTTCTTCTACTGTGACAAAGTTTAAATAAAAGAACCCTCTAAATTTGCTAATGTTGTAAGGCAAGGAAGAAATCTGGTTTTCATTCTAAAATCCTTTGTCATGTATAGCTTCAATTTTGGTGCCTCCTTTAATGTACTTTTGCATATGTTTAAAATTGCTAGTCATTGTTGATAGCACAATTATGTTATAAAGACACTGCTGATTTCGCAATATACTATGTAAATTATAGTTTTTTTGAGTTTCAAAGTAAAGCTTCTAGCTATAGATTTCTTATTTTTTTCAGAGTGTTGCAGTTTCTTATGCAGAATCCAAACTACTTTACAGGAGGTTATCCTATCAGTCCTTTCTCTCCCAATGACAACATCTTCAATTCAGCAAATTATGAATACCTGTTATATGAAGTTAATAATTCTACCTATTGGAAGCCTTACCTGAAGGTTGTACCATAGACATTCTGGAGCTATAATTATGTCTCTTTTCTCTGCAGGTCGAAGGAGCACTTAATGTTGCTGAGAAGCTTGTTCGAGCATCACCTGATGAACTTAAATATGTAGCTAGTGACCTGGCTAGAACTCTGGTTCAGGTTCGTTGTTCTGATTTCACAGCCGAAGGAGAAGAAGAATCAGCTGAAGAGAAGAGGCAAAAAGCATTAGTTGCACTGATTGTGACCTGTCCACTCGAATCTCTTGAGGCTCTACACACCTTGCTATACTCAGCTACAGTAGATGTCAGCCAACGAATTATGATTCTTGATGTAATGACTGGTGCAGCACAAGAGCTAGCGAGTATGAAATTTTTAAAACCAGAATATCAGCCAAGGAACCTCATATCATCTGTCTCAGATAAGCCATGGTTCATCCCAAGAAACATTGGTCCTCCAGGGGCGAGTTCTTGGAAGGAAATATCAACACCTGGAACTCCATTGAATTGGTCATATTCATATGAGAGAGAACTTCCTCCTAGACCGGGTCAGATCCAGAGAGGAAAAACACGTCGATGGAGCCTTCAGTCATCTGTAAATGAAAACCAGTTAGAACAGTCACAGAATCAGTTCCCCCAGTATGCAGCAGCATTTATGCTGCCAGCCATGTTAGGATTTGATAAGAAAAGGCATGGTGTTGATTTACTTGGTAGGGATTTTATTGTCCTGGGTAAACTAATATTCATGCTTGGAGTTTGTATAAAATCTGCAGCCATGCATCCAGAAGCATCTGTTTTGGCATCCCCTCTTCTGGATATGTTAAGAGTCAGGTAAAGAACATTCCAAAATGACATGCGTAGCTTTTAATTGTGATCGTTGTTGGTTGTAATATTGAACCAGACAATGCAAGTTAGGAGGATGTCATATATACTCATGGGTAGATACATGTCACCTGGTAGTAGATCTCTATGTGTTGTTTTACTGCTCTATATTATAGTACTCAGTTGTGCTATTGATGAGCATCATTCCTATCACATTCTAGTTGAAAATACAGAAGAAGGAAACAAATATTGTTCTATGTGAAGAGAGGATGCTTTTAACCTCACAATCATGTTCTTTATATTACACAGGGAGATATCTCATCATATTGAACCATACGTCAGAAGATCTGTACTTTTTGCGGCTTCATGTATATTGGTGGCCATCCATCCCACTCATGTTGCATCAGCATTAATGGCTGGAAATACTGAAATTCCTAGAGGACTCGAATGGATTCGCACATGGGCTCATGATATAGCTGAATCAGACACAGACAGAGAGTGTTACATGGTAAGCAAAATTCTTAAGGTGATGACTGTTTGTGCTAGCTTTCTTTAAACACGCAAATGCTTGTCCACCAATATCAGCTCCAGATAGTCACATGAAACAGGATTTAGACATCTTTATTATTTATGAGGACCTTTTAGATTAGATTTCTGACTTAGTGATATCTTAGGAAACATCTCTATATTGTCATAGTAAAGTAGCTGGTGGTATAAGGCTCAGGGTATTCGCTGCATCTAAAGTGAGAAACAGCTAGCAGACAAAATATATACTCTTGAAAAGAATGTGTTAGTTTGAAATTAGATCTTAAATGTATAATCTTACAATTGACAGCTGTAAAGAGAGAATTAAAGAGAATTCTTGTAACCAAAGCCGCATAGTATTGAACCAGAATTTTTGCAGATGGTTAGCATTGGTGTTGATGATGTATAGACTTCGGGGTAGGGTTGGTAGTACATTGCCTTGCATTGCTATAGTGTGGTAGATACCCCTGCACATATTTTGCAGATGGTTAGCATTCTTTGTATTTAGAGAATGACAAAGATTGGTCATAGTTATTTTTTGTATGCTTAAATTGGTGCTCATGTTTAAGTAAAAAAAATAGTAAGATACACTCATGAAAAGATGTGGTAACCAGCCCCACCCCCTTCTTATAAGAAATATTTTTCCTTGCCATCAGCCCGTCCATCAGGCTTAAAACTCCTTAATTCTTAGCAGATTACAACCCATGTAAAAGAATGGAAGAAAACAAAGTAAATATTGTTAAGACTAATAGAATCTTTGCCAGATGCTTTACTTATATGTTGGGCAGTGAGATGTGTGAATCTTCTACCATTTTATGGTTTGCTTCATTCCTTTCCATGTTATGCATGGTAGGCACAAATAGGCTAAGTTGTTATTCGTCGTGTCGTTGTATTTTGTTCTTTGAAAGTCAAACTGAGATATACTGCATCTTGGTAAGTTTTATTCCGTGGGAAAGGCTTGAAAAGTGTTTTCCTTCAATTGCTGCTGTATATGCTGTTGTGGGAGATTTTCAAATCATTCACTCTGTTTTATCTATTTCAGCTGGCCATGACATGCTTGCAGCTTCACTCCGAGATGGCTTTGCAAACTTCTCGAGCGCTAGAGTCTACAGAAGGCACATTTGGAACTGAAACTCTTGGTCTTCCATCAGCTCTGGCTAGCGGAATGATTAAAATCCCTCGTGTATAGCTAACATCAACCTCTAGTTCTTTTAGGATTTTTTTTTGGCAATTCTTTTTTGTAAATTCTGCATGCTGCTAGTACTTTTTCTACATCACACTCTTTTTTTTCCTTTTTTGTCGGGTTGGGTGGGTTTTTTTTTTTTTGGGGGGGGGGGGGGTGTGTGTGTGTGTGTGTGTGTGGGGATTTTATTAAAAAAAAAAAAACTTGGGAAAATGTCTACTATGATGTGCCCTTTTTCTTGGGGCAATGCAAGATTCGCGATGTATCAAATAGAGCCAAGCTCGTAAATACCGCTCTGACTCTGAGGATATTTTGCGTGCTCGGGATACGACTTGCATTTTAGGTACATTTTGCGTCAAACTGAAATACAATAGACTGAACCTCAATCTTTGAGGTTTCAAATGAATGCCCAGCTTGCAATGACCCAGTGGCGGATTTAAGGTGCCCCCACTACTCCCCTTTAAATTCCTACAATATCCATAAAATTTTGATATAATCTTAATTGTATCTCTAGAGTTTTTTTTTATGAAATAAGTGAAAGAATTACGTGATCTTTTAAATTGGTTCATGAACTAATATTTTAAAAGTATATGTGGGTTACAAAATTTTATTTGAAGTAAGTTCAAAAAAACTTGTTCATTTTAATTTGTTGGTGAATAATTTTTTGCTTAAAAAACTAAAAAAAGAGTAGGTAAAAAATTTTAATGTTACTTTTGTCCCCACTCAAAATTTTTTCTGGCTCCGTCACTGCAATGACCTGAAAATGATTGAAGGTTAGTGTAACGTCCTCAGATCTTAGTTGTTTCATTTACAAAAAATGTGTCCCTCCAAACTTTTAACCATCCATTCTTCGACCCTTATACCTAAACGAGAGCCAATGCAATTGAACATATGACCCTTTAACCTAAACGAGCCAATGCAATTGAACATATGATGGCACGAACACGTTAGTCATGTCAATAGGTTGGATTTTATCCAAATTCAAGCTGGACTTAATATACTTGAGAAGGGTTTTCTAACCTTATTCAGACTTAGACCCTATAAGAGAATTTGGGGCTTGTGTAGGGTTTGATTTTCAATAATTCATATCAAAATTCAGACTCATACCAGATCTTATGCAAATCCATGTATATATAATTAAATAATATATATATATTAGTAAATTGATAAAATAATCTAATATTTTATAGTTGTTTGATTGAATACAGTAAGATTTCATGATTGTTTTCTTTTTTCAAACTAATCCTAATTGTCATTGTAATTAATATAAATTTTTTTAGGAAAAAGAGAAAAAGTAAAGGTAAACAAATGAAAGATTGAACGTCAAGTTTTGAAAATAAATAGAAGTAGTAAAAAATAGTTCTTTTTTGTATTAATAATATTGCATTCAACTTTTTAAATATTAATTTTATTATTTGAAAATAAAAATTAGGTGATATTTATATTATTTTTGAACTCTATTATTTTTAATATATTTTTACTTTAGTATGTTCAAAAAATATAACAAATACTCATTGGATACCCATTTACATGAGTGTCTTTTTTAAATCTATAGAGTTCTTTATAGAACTTTAAATCCAGCGCAAATACATGAGTGTCTGGATTTAAGAAATTTGCGCTGGGTACCAACCATTGAATCTAAGGGAAAAGCAGGCCAGCCTCTTATCGGTTGATTGCTAGACTGCTAGTCTCGCTTAAAAACCACCGAACTCACTTGTATACACAAAAGCCATAAGATGACTTCTATGGCCAAATCCAACCCAATATCCAGAGCATGACCTTTTATTCTCGCTGCAGCATTTAGTTTGTTCCTCAGATGCATTGCCCAAGAACCTGATGGCAATCATAAGGCATACTTACTTATTTTTTGTCCCATGCTGTTTCTCGGTTTTGGATTATCGTTGCTCACTATCATATATCACACAATGTTGGATTTCTTCTTCTTCTTCTTCTTTTTTTTTTTATATGGTTTGATATATAATATAAAAATGAGCAGAACTAAACAGTCTAAACTAACCAAACAAGAAAAAAAAAAGATTAATTATGTACTCCCTCTGTCCCATTTTGATAGTTCTAGTTTTTATTTCACACAGTTTAAGAAAAAATAGTTAACTTTGTTGGAAAAATAAATATAGATTGTTATTTTTCTAAAATACCCTTATATTAAATTAAGACTGTCAATGAGGCTGGACCAACCCAAGCTCGGCTTGTTCGACCCGACAAAAAATCCGATAAGCCTGACCTTTTAGTGAGCCGGTCTAAGTTTGAATCTAAAAATTAAGGCCGAATTAAATATGAGTCGAGTTTGGGCCTTATTAGGCTCAAACCTGATATAGGCTTGGCCCTTTAATTATCTATATATATATATATAATATTTATATTTTGATATTATGTATAATTATATATCCAAATATATTATTATTAAACATTAAATATATATAAATTACAAAATATAAAAATACATCTAAGCATGTTTGGATTCAAATCACAAGATTATAAAAAAAAAGTTTCAACTTTTAAAGATGTATTGGTTTATGATCGCATATTTTATTACTATTTTTTGTGCATTTTGAATGAATTAAATATAAATATTGTTAAAAAAATTTTGGTTTATACACTTTTGAAGAACTATTATTTGTTCATATTTAGTTTTAACATTATAATCTTGTAAATGTGAAATTAGTTTTACAACTTAATAGTTATAGTAATTATATTAAGAAAATTAAGAAGTAATAAGTGAGTTTAGGCTAAACTCGATTAAGATTCACAACCCGAATATTATGTGAGTTGAGTATGAGTTTCACATTTATGAATGCGAAACTCATAGCCCGAAACCCGAAAATGTTTCAAATTAAATGAGTTGAATTTGAACTTATGAAAATCCGGCTCATTAGGCCCGATTGATAGGCTTACATTAAATAAAATTGGCTTTTTATATATCAATATGTTTTGAAAAATCTAAATGCATTAAATAGGATAAATTATATTCAATACTAACAATCTATATTAAATAAGGTAGTTTATAGTAATAACAACTTACATTAAATAAGGGTATTTTAGAGAAATTAAAAGATAACTACATTTTTCAATTGGAAAGTGAACTATAATTTGAGACAGAAGAAAAAGGAAAACAGGACTATTAAAGTGGAACGGAGGGAGTAACTTTTATTAGGAATATATTGTGTACATAGGGGATCATCCAAAGGAAAGTCTGTGTGTGACATCTCTTCACAAAAGTATTCTGCAAAAAGCCGTGGGGCAGCTTTAACCTCGATTTCTTTTACAGAACTTACATAATTTTCCCCAGGAACAAACATTTTTCTAAATTATAGCTAGCTTCTTTTGTTACATGCAATGAATACTAAAGCAGTAGGGCATCACATTCCCTACTCTACAGTTACAGGCGAAGCTTCAATGGTTTTGTGGCAAAGCTGACCAAAGAAGAGAAAAAAAGACTAACTAGTGGGTGAAAAACATTTGCTAAATCAAACAATGTTGAAACTCATGTTTTGTGGCTTTTCTGTTTTCTTACTTCATTGACACATTTTTCAAACATGGAAGGTGTAGTCTCTGTGTTTCCGAACGGTAAAAAACAGCTTCACACGACAAGGTCGTGGGATTTTGTGGGCATCCCTCAAGATGCTAGTAGAAAAACTCTTGAAAGTGATATTATCATAGGAATGTTGGACAGTGGAATTTGGCCAGAATCTGAAAGCTTCAATGACTCGGGATATGGTCCGCCTCCAAGTAGATGGAAGGGCACCCGTGAAAGCTCAGAAAACTTTACTTGTAACAAATAAATGTGTACTATATCTTGTGTCTTTTCTTAGGTGATCTAGATGGAAAACTCTAATCCTACTTGCTAGGAATATGCTTTTGGTACACGCAATGTAAAAGAACTAAGCGCTCTCATTGATATTATTTCCCAATCAATATTGCACTGATAATTGCCCAAGTAAAGGTGCGCTTAGAATCCAGAAATATTATGTTGAATCCCATGTTTAATACTCTCTTGTTTGTGTAATGGTATCGAACCAGAGGGTAACTAGCAATGAAATAGTAACAGAAGTAAAAGCTAACACTGAATTGATTGGAATAAGATTGTATTAAGTAATAATCTCTGGTACAGAAATGATGGTTACAGAGAAGAAGATGAACAGAAATGCAGGAAATCTTAAGGAAAGGAAAGAAAAGAATGAGGGAGAAATCTCCCAAATCGATACACTAAATGCTTGAATATTCTCTGCTAATAACCATACAAAAAGCTCCTATATAAAGCCAACGACTGATAACTAACTTCCTATTGCTACAATCCTGTTGGTCCATGTGTCCTGCTGATGTCAGAAGTTGTTACATCATTGCAGTCATGTTCTTGATCTGTTTTTCCAGTGAAAGCGTGATTTCACTTCCACATCTTCCATAGCTTTTCTTGATCTGTTTTCCCAGTGAAAGCGTGATTTCACTTCCACGTCTTCCGTAGCTTTTCTTCACTTCATTCCACGCATTCTCTTCTGGAACCACGCCGTCACATTTCTTGTAGCTTAAGTTCTGTTTCATGACAATTGCCCTTTCTTATACAATCTTGTCCTCAAGATTCAAACTCAGGGAATTCCCTTTCAATTCGTTCGGCATCTTCCCACGTAGCTTCAGCTGGTGTAGGACCCCACCAGTGAACGAGCCATTGTGCAGCTGCAACATTCTTCTTCTTTACAATTCTTCGATTTAGTACAGCCACTGGTTCCACTCTAAGGTGTCCCTTTTCGTCCATATTTGGCAGCTAGAGTACAGGAGTCATATTGTTTCCCACCTTCTTCTTTAATAAGGACACATGGAAGACATGATGTATTTTGGATCCTTCAAGCAGCTTAAGCCTGTATGCTACCTTTCCTATCTTCTGTATCACTTGATAAGATCCAAAATATTTGGTAGACAACTTGGTATTTCCCCTCAGCTTCACAGTAGTCTATTTGTGAGGCTGCAACCTCAAGTACACCCAGTCTCTTACACTGAAGGCTTTCTCACTTCTCTTTTGGTCAGCATACAGTTTCATTCTGTCTTGAACCTTTTGTAGATTCCTTTTAAGTAGCTCGTCCAGTCTCTGCCTGTCC